AGAAATGATCGAAAAAAATCTAGTGATAAAAATTCTAATAGATTATAAAAAAAATAAAACATGAGTAAAATATTCGATAAGTCAAACTTACCTCTTGACATCAAATTTGTATATTTGTGCATATGTACAATGTTAATTGAAAAGTTATATTTATTTTTGGCAAAGACTGGATAGAATTTTATTTAATAATGAATGGCTTAATACTTTTCCTTTATCTCATGTGGAACATTTAAGTAGATCTACTTCTGACCATGCTCCTTTACTTTTGTGTATCAATACTAATCGTAATACTGTCCCTTCTAATTTTCTTTTTCAGAACATGTGGTTATCTCATAAAGATTTTAGCAATGTTATTAATTTTAATTGGTCTGCTCCCATTGCTCCGAATAATGACATTGTGGGTATGCATAGATTGTGGGCTAAATTGAACAGATTGAAGCAAGTTTTAAGGTGGTGGAATAAAAATGTTTTTAAGAATATTTTTGCTAACATTAAAGAAGCCGAGAAGGAGGTGATGGAATTAGAGAATACTTATATGTAAAATCAGAGTAATGATAGTAATTATGCTCTTCACAATGCTAAAAATAATCTTGCTATTTTGCAAGAACAAGAGGAGATTTATTGGAAGCAAAAAGCTGCTTCTAATTTGATTGTTGAGGGGGATAGAAATACTAAGTTTTTTCATACTTTAGCGAATAAGAAAAGAGCTCAAAATCGTATTTTTAAAATCATGGGAGAATGAGGTGTTATTTTTGAAAAAGAAGAGGATATTTTTGTTTCTGGTGTGGATTATTTTAAACAAAGTTTTAATAAGGACTTTACTACTACTTCTATTTCTAATCCTTTCATTGTTCCTAAGTGCATTAGTGATGCTGATAATGATATGTTAATTAAAACTCCGTCTGAGGAGGAAGTGTGGAACACCATTAATGATATGAATATCGATTCTACTGCGGGTCCTGATGGCTTTACCACTAAATGTTTTGTGCACTCTTGGAATATTATCAAGCTTGATGTTTTAGATGCTGTTAGAGACTTTTTTAATGGTACCCCTTACCCTAAGTTTTTTTCTGCTACGAATATTGTTTTAATTCCTAAAAAGGTGGGGGCTAATTGAAGGTTTTAGATAACTCTGGTAAATTGTTTGAGAAATAGATTGACATTCTTTCCAAGTTAGATCTTGGGGCGTGACAATTTTAGTCTTAAAATTGCCTGGGACAGTTTTCGTATCAAACAAAGTCATTCTGTTATTTTCTCGGCTATCTAGCATAATACTATTCCTCTTTCTTATTCTATTTTGACTTGGAGAGTTATAAGAAATTTTATTCCTGTTGATGAGTTACTGATGAGAAAAGGCTTGAGTATTCCTTCCAAATGTCAGTGTTGCTATGATAGGGAAACATTGGATCATGTTTTTGTTAATGGTTTGATTGCTAAGAATGTTTGGTTGCATTTTATTGGCATTGCTCATAAAGACAGCAGTATTATGCAGGATGATATCTCTAAAATGCTGGATCTGTGGATGCTTAAAGCGAAAGGTCATATTTACAATTTAATTCCCATCCTTATTTTTTGGTATTTGTGGAAAGCTAGAAATGAAGCTAAACATGAGGGTATTCGTATGGATGCTTTGAGGATTATTGATAATATTAATTACAAAGTCAGTCAGCTGTATGCGGCTAATATAATTTATGGTAAGAACTTTAAAAACTGCAATTTTTTGGCTCATTATTTCGGTTTTACTCTTGACTCTGTTGAGTTTAGAAATAGGGAGAAAGTTGTTAGATGGTTGAAACCGTGTTTGCCTTTTGTCAAATTGAACACAGATGGTTCGGTGGGTTCTGATGTTGCTGGAATGGGAGGTATTCTTCATAATTATAACGGTGATGTGATTTCTGCCTATGCCTCTTCTTTAAATCACTGTAAAGTTATTTATGCGGAAATGAGGGGTTTATCCTATGGGTTGGAATTATGCTACAAAATCAAGGTTACAAATGTTGTCATTGAATTGGATGCTTTGAGCCTTATCCAGTTGTTGAACAAAAATATTATGTGTTATCCTAAATTTATTTATATTTTGAGGAAAATCAAAATTTTGATGGAGGGTTTAAACTGCACTTTAGTTCATATTTTTCGCGAAGGTAACGCGTGTGCTAATTTTTTAGCCAAGAAAGGTTGCCTCATTAATGGTATGAAAGAATTTTCGAGCATTAATCTTCCTCAACAGCTGAAAGGTTTAGTTAGATTGAAAAAATTGGGTATGCCTTATATTCTCGTTCTTTTTAGTGTTATTTTCCTGTTACTCATTTTGTCTTTCGTTTTCTATTGCTGATGGTTGTTTATGCTACCTGGAGCTGATTTTTGTTGCCACTGGAGGTTGTTTGTCTCTGTTCAGGTGGAATTGCTGGAGGAATTGTCTGGGAAGGAATTTTGGATCTCGGGATTAGCTGCTTCGTTAAACCGTTTACTATTTTTTCCTTGTTTAGTTTTTCAGCTATTTACTTTTGCAGGTTGCTTCCACCTTGAGGAAGTTTTTGCCAGAAAGATGGGTTTCATTGCTTATACTGTTGATCTTTCTAATTTTTGGGCATTTTCTTATCGCCATAGATTGTTGCTAGGTATTATTGTATTTTGCATAGATAGGGTTTTTCGGCCTTTAGGTTTTATTTTCTTTTTGAGTGATTGTAGCTCTTTGAGCTTTAGAAGGCTGAAAATCCCTTTAAGGACTTGTAATTTGAATTTATATCAACGCGTAGGCCCATTTGTGTTTCCCCTAAAAAAAAATTTAAAAGTTATATTTAAGCAATACAAGTAAAATTATATATAGAAAGCTTATCAAATTTTTGTTGTTATATAAATTTCTCTTATCTATAGGTATTTGAGAGAGCATATATTGACTCAAGTAAGGATGACTCGGTGTGAGGTAACCTATTGACTTTACATGAGCTTGCCGAGTTTTGATGAGCACCAAGACAGGTTCTTTGGGAAAATATCTCGAAAGAGTAGTCTTAGCTTTGAGGCGGAGTGCCTTAGATCAAACAAAAATAAAAGACTCGAACTTGGCGTTGAGTTTAGTTTTCGATGGTGACTTTTAATAACTAACTATCCTATTAGCCTTGAATCCAATTAATTTCTGGCGAAGCTCTGATTGAATCAGCTAGACTTATATATGTAGCATCTTATGATATGTTTGGATCTATAGCTGTGGTAGCCATAGTGTAGGTAGGAGATATCATAGATTTGGAATATGAAAGAGAAGAGCTTATTTTATGGATTTTAGGTAAGATCGATTAGAAAGAGGAAGCTAGGGTTGAGGTGTGGAGATGAGAGATATGCAAACTTCAGACAAATATCAAATACAACGCAAAACAGATAGAAGAGAGAAGCACTTAATTAAGATCTATCAAACCCTAGGGTAATAATCTTAACGACATTGGTGAGATTACTGCTAATAGGGGGGTAAGTGAGTCAAATCAACTCGTGAGCCAGCTCAGGCTAGACTCGATAAATAACTCATGTGCTAAACTTAATATACTAATGAGTCAAACTTGAGTCAGCCCTTACTCGATGCGTTAACTTGCAAATTAACTCGTTTAAAAATATCAATATAAAATATAAAATATACTTAAAATATGTTAATATTCAAAATTTTAACTATAAAATTATTAAAATTATTTAAAAAATTATATTTCATTATCTTATATTAAATAATGCTTTATTTATTTTTTTTAATCATTTTTTAGCATGTTATTAAAAAAAATATTTGAATCATAATTATTTTCTATTTTCTATAATTAAATAGCTAGCTTATATCGGTGACTAAAGCTCAAATTCAAATTCAAACTCAATTAATTAATTAAACTTAAACTCAAATTAATAGTGATTTTTTTTTTTGGGACATTTAGTCCATTTAAGACAAACTCACACACACAACGCATACACAGAGACTCGAACCTTAGACCTCTTAGTTGGAATCCTTAGCTCTCAACCAATAGGCCAAGGAGAGTTGTGTAATTAATAGTGATTTCAACACTGCCGATAAATATCAAATGATTCTGATTTAACTCTATCATTTTTTAATTACAATGATGTTGATCTAAAGACTGTAGTGCATTTAATGTCATAATTGTTGAGAACTGCACTTCGCTTGCAATATAAAATACTCATGATACACGACTTAACATTAAAAAACTAAACAAATAAAGCTTACTCTTTGAGAACTGTAGAAGTGCCTGCAAAGCAAGTGCATCAGCATAGGGAGGTGTTCCCAGTAAGTTCTTGGATACGAACGCTTAGGAATATCCCTACCTCTGAGTTGCTAAGCAACAGTAACTAAATCCAGAGAGTAGGCCCCATACTTGTGATGAAGACACAAGTGGAATCAAAATTTTACAGGATATTATAATTTATACATATAAATATTTAATCTTATAAGTCATTTAATTTTTCAACATAAAATTAATTTATGATTGATACGGCATCACAAAATTAACTTGATCGGGCACGAATCTCAAGGCAAAAGCTAGTTGGAAACTTCAAAAATTAATTCCGGGAGCACCCGAACTCCGATTTCAGCGAGCTTGTAGTCAAACTGAGCGTCTCGGAAATACAAACCCAACAACACCAAGATCAACCCAATCCGAGCCCAAATGAGTCCGAATCAAGGACCCGAAGCGCTGTTTTCCCAAGGAAGGGCCTCATTTGTAATCGACTGCAAATACTAGTGGATTCGTTCAAACTGGGCTAGGCCCCGTGGTTTTTCCCCCTTTTACAGGGGTTTTCCACGTAAAAATCTTGGTGTCTCATAAATGCTAGATCCTCTCTTCTTATCTGATTGCGTGCCGGATTTTCGTACAACGCTAAGACGTTAAACTAAATATTTCTCTACCGCCGCGAATACTCCAGGACGCAACAATGATATAATTATATTTAATTATTTTCTAATTCTAAATATTTCTTAATATTGTAAATATCATGAGATTTCATGGCAATTCTAATCTTGTCTGATTTCAACTTCATTGACACAGCAAAATACATCCATGTAGTGCACGTACGGCAAAACACTTACATTTAATGGTTACATATATAGATAGTATAAACAACCACTCCTTTTCTGCTTTTTCATTCTTGATTACAGCTCGACAGATAGCTACTAACCAGATACTTAACTTAATGAAGGAGGCTTAGGGTTTCGAAGGACTTCACAGTCTCCATCTTCTTTGGCAGTGAGTGCATATACTTGCAGTTTGGGCAGGAGGGCGATGAACGGTATAGCATTACCAGAAGGTGGCAATTAAAGCAGACAATGGCAACCATGCTGCTGCTGCCATTACTAGAGCTACTTGGTTTCTTTACCTCCTCCTCCAAGTTTTGGCAGATTCTCTTTCTGAAACTTGTTGAAGTTGAAGGAGTTGAGATATTGAGCTCCAAGTCTAAGTTCTGCTCTTTCGGTCTCACCCAGCTCTTAGTCAGAGTTTTTCTATTTAGGTAGTATATCCTTCCAGACTGCCATAGAAAAATAAGATTTAATTGGAAAACAAACAGTGGAAATTAGAAAAGTTTAAGATATTTTATCTGATTGCATAACACTTTTTTTTGTAAATTTAATGATCAGTATAGTTTTATTTTTTCAAATTTATATGTTTCCCACAAAAATATCGTATATTATGGAGGGTGAATTATTCTGTCCGGTGATCGGACCGTCCAGACACCAATCCAGACGGACAACGTCACCCGAATACACTAGGCCCCTGGGTGTTTCTGGGTGATGTCCCCTGGGTGTTTCTGGGTGATGTGGCGCATCTGAATTGGTGTCCGGACGAATCTGGACACCGGACATAATAATTTTCCATTATGGAGGGAGAGATAGAGAGCTAGAGAAGTAGAGACCTTACTTGAAGGTTTAGGCACTGCTCCCAGTCCATAGGAAGGGGATCATTGATGTGAAAGTCTATGCCAGATTGATGAGTGCTGGGCTCCTCCCAGCTAGCCAGCTTCCTCTTTCTGCTATTATTTTCTTCTGATTTACAAGAGGAGCTATTGTTGCTATCAGCCTGTGACATGGAGGGACCTAAAGAGAGATTTGGGTGATCCATAATCCTCAAAGGAAACAATCTCTGATCAGTATTACTTCTAGTAGTATTTCGCTTCTTCTCCTCCACTACTTGCAATTCTGTCTTGGCTTTCAGAAGAAGCTTCTTCACCATGCATGCTCCACCTTAGCACTTATGCTGCCTATATTATGCACACACAAGAAGGATATAAAGGTGAGAGAGAAAAGAGGATGTGAGAAGAAGAGAACTTTGACGAGTGAGTTATAGAAAGGGAATAAGCTCATGAGTGCTAGTTCGCGCTCCTTTGATTGATAAGGTCATGCAAGAGGTGGCGTGAAAAGTAAATAGGGTTCTTAAATGTCCTTCATCAAACACCATTAAAAGTTGGACAGATCTAGCATTAAAGTGGCGTGTAGACTCATCTTAAATGCTTGAATTACTCTTCCTATTTCATTCTTAGTTGGCTAAGAGCATATTTGTCTTGACTAAAAAGCGTGAAATTTGTTGGGGTTAAATCCTAGAAATGATTTTCAGCGATGCTTGTTAGTGAGCACCTCGTCCTGTATTACTTGTTTTCTATGAATTTAGTTTCTGCTTGTTTGGGTCAGAGTGCTACATTTTCCACTCCCTTATAAGAGTAAATGGATCATCATCATCCATTTTATTTCATATTTATATTATTTTTTTGTATAATATATTACTTATTTTGTTAATTTTGCTCCAATAACCCTTTTTTCAAAAAATGAATTTAAAATATAGAAACTTACTTTCATCCACTTGATATCAATATTAATAGCTCTTGAACTTAGTTCCAGAACTAAGGGCCCATCCAGTAATGTTTTTCACTAGCTTTGAGACAGTTGATATCTCCTGTTCACATTTTTTTTTTTTTTTTCAAGAAACGAGTCATGTAAAAATTGCTTTTAAAAAATGACATTTCAAATTGTTTCATGAAAAAAGTATATATATCATCTTAACAATTTATTATATAAAAAGAAGAAGCCCAACCTTGTTGCGTGTAGGAACATTCGCGGCGGTAAAGAGATGGAGTGCTTAATGTCTTAGCTTTGAAGGAAGATCCAACACATGTACAGATGAAAGCGACGGATGTAATAATCATAAGAGACACCAAAATTTTTACCAAAAAAATCCTGAAAAGAAGAAAAATCATAGGGCCTTGCCCCGTTGAAATGAATCTACTAGTATTTGTTGTTGATTAGAAATGATGAAATTACTAGGAGAAAGGCATTGGCTCAATATAATAAATGCACAAGCATATTACATAGTTTGAGCTGGAATAATCCAATGACATGAGGGCATTTTTTAAGAGAATATTGAAATATTCATTTGGTCGGTAGGATAGTAACAGACAATAGAGATTAATTAGAATGACTAAAGTTAATGGACAACTGTCGTTGGAAAGACCTTATTTAGGCTACGGAGGTCGGAGGTATTCTAGTTGGGCTATGGTGCTCAGAGGGATTGTAGTCGACAAGTTACGAAGGTTGGAAGGATTATAGTTTGGCAATGGTGGTCGAAGGGACCGTAGGCGACGGGGATGGAGGTCAGGAGGATTATAGTCAAATGACTATGGTCGGTGGGATTGTAGACAGTGCATGGGTGATGGATATATGAAGGACTGCATTTGAGCAACAATAGTCAAATTGGTTGTAATTGGAAAATGATGGTGGTCAAAGGAAGGAACCTTAGTTAGTGGGAGACGGTGGTCAAAAAGATCATAATTAGGTTGAAATGTTCAAAGGGTTTGTAGTTAGCATTAGAGGAATTAATATTTGAGACGACCCCAAAATCCAATTCTAACTCTTGTTCTGATTTCGACAGCGCTAGTTAGTGGATGATGGTGCTAAAAAGGACTGTAGTTGAGCGACGATGGTTAAATGGATCGATCGTAGTCGATAGGCAATGGTGGTCAGAGGGACTGTTATCGGTGGGCGATAGATGTAGGCTAGACTGTAGTCTGCAAGCGACGGAATTCGGAGGGACCATAATTGACGAGCGACATAAGTGAGAGGGACTGTTGTCGGTGGGAGATGGTGGTCGGATGTATCTTAGTCGGTGGGCAACTGAGGTTGGAGGGATCATAGTTGATAGGAAAAGGAGGTCGGCGAAACTGTAGTAGGCAAGCGATGGTAGCTAGTTGAAGGGACCATATTTGGTGAGAGATGGTTGTCAGAGGGACTGTGGTCGGCGGGTTACGGTGGTCGGACGAAGGCTTATTGGTGGCTATTGAACAAAGTTCCAATGGTGATGGTCGGGTAGAGGTTCAACAATGACAGATTAGTTAATGCGCGAGTTTGCTGGTGGTGGCACAGTGGCACAGTGTTGGAGCTCCATGATTTTTCAAGCCTTAGAATTCTCTTGAGTATCTAGTCCAGGGTCTAAGAATTCAAAGGTCTAAGCCCCCAGTGTAAATTCGGAGTGCTCCATCAGATGACCCATACTGATTTTGTTGATCATGGAGCATTTGTTCAACATTTAAATGCCCTAATTATGTTAGAATAAAGCAATTTTTGACTTGATATCCTATATTTAGATACCATTTAGTCAACAAATTAATGTCCTAAAGCTTCCAAATATACCCTAAGCCATTGATTTGAGTTCATTTGGGCTCGGATCATACCAATTTTGATGTTTTTGGGTTCGACTTGCCAAGATGTTCAATTTGACTGTAAGTTTGCTAGATATCAGAGTTCAGATTGTCCCACAAGATTCATGCTCGACCAAGATGATTTTTAATGAGGTATCAAACCTCTTTATATTTGTTACATCAAAACAAAACACCCTCTGCTCATATTTTACTTTAGTTTCATTTGCCAGTTTTTAATACATCCATCTCTGTCGTAGCTAGCAGTTAATTAAAACTTTAGTTGCTAATACTCCATCAGCTAGCTCTACCTAAATCTCTTTCACTCGTAACTATGGATATATATGGTACGTTGCAGGTCTAAGAAACTCAGAATCCAGCTTCATTTCTTAAGCGACTTTCATATCTCTTCTAATCCTTATAAATATATCCTCTTCTCATCATTTCATGCAGCACGTGATTATCATCCTTCAATACCTGCACCATTAACTTCCATTAAATAATTAGGCACTCCTGTTATGGATTGGCATTCATGGCAAAGCTAATTAATTCACAAAAGGAAAATAAGCAGTAAATTTGAGCGATGAGGCATTTAAGTAGAAGAATAATTTAAAAAAAAAAAAAAAACATGGTCAGATATTCATATCCAATATTACTATTTTTCTCTAGTGGCATTTATTTTATTTTTTTCATATATTTTATGACAAATATCTTTATTTACCTATATAATTTTTTTTATTCATATTTGTCAAATTTTGGCCAGAATATCAAACCTAATTTCCTTCGAAAAATAAATGTAGAGCTGAGGTGCTTATTAGCTTCTACCTACCGAAGCCAACTACAACAATTAATAAATTGTAGCGCCTCACAGTTTGGTCGTTGGGGCATGAACCCATTTAATGTCTTAATGTTTTATAACTACAGGCATTGATATTTCTCACCCGCACCTATTGACATCTCCCACCTGCACTAACATATATCACATTAGAATTAGTTGACATTAATGAGATATATACCACTTTTTATTTTTCGTTACTTCTTAACGTCCATGCATGATGGTAACGCAGCCCTCTTGATCTCTTAAGTTTCGTTTGGGACGGCTTTCTTATCGCTTCTTAGAGCAGCTTTTTAGTACATAAATTCAAAATTTTGTACTAAAAAGCTGCTTTAAGAAGCAGCAAGGAAGCTGTTCCAAACAAAATCTTAGTTGCGAATTTTGACTATCAACCAAGAGATTTTAGGTTCTAGTCTTGCGTATGTTATGTGTGTATGAGTTTGTCTTAATTGATCTAAATATCAAAAAAAAAAAGTATCTGTAATGAAAAGAGATACAGTCTTTGAGGTGGAGATTTATTTATAGCATAGTTGAGCAGATGCTTGTTCTACCTTACTTCTCATGCGTGCTTAATTTCGTCCACAAACAAGTAATTGAAAGGAACTGTGACATTTTTATTTTTATTTTCTTTTTGGAATGAGGAGCAATAAATTTCAAAATATGTTGTTAGAATTGATGATTTTAGAAGAACAACTTTCTCCTTCAATTACTGTGTCGAATAAGTTGGCTGGCTAGCAGTAGCTGCGCATGCATAAGTATTCTCTGTGCTTGTTGGATTAAAGCCATTCTACAAACCATAAGGTGGGGGATGATATCATTGCATGCATGCTTAAAGTTGCTTCAGGCACAATTATAGCCTCCAACACAAGCATCACTTGAATAATGAGTATTCCATACAATACCGGCGGCCGAACCGCCGAAAGACCGACGGTTAAAATTCCGGTGGTCACCGGCGGTACGGGCCGCCGGAAAACCGCCGCAAAAATAAACCGCCGGTAAAAAGCCGTCGGAATTGGTTTCCTACGCCGTTTTTACCGGCGGTTACCAAACCGCCGTTAGACCGCCGGTAACGTAAAAAACCGCCGGTAATTTTACACTAACTGCCGGAAAAAACCGCCGGTTTTCAGCGTTTTTCCTGTAGTGATACTATGCATATCACAGATGAGGTAAGTTAAGTAAACCTCGTATGCTGCCTGCTAAAGCATGAGAACTGGCAAAGCTATGCACCACTTAGTTGAGGAGCTTTTCAGAAATTGTGAATGCCAAGACTCACACAATCACTAACGTTTGGATATATATATTTGGTTAAAACCCATCCACGGGCCTACGCATTAATGAGAAAAAAATTGTACAAGGTTCTTAAGGGGACCTCCAGCTCCCTACTGCTCGACTTAGCTACAAAAAAAAAGTCAAAAAAACACCTACGAGCCAGTGGTCTCCACTAAGCAAATTACAAGGAAACCTAGTCTAGCAAGGTCGGCAAGAACCCAACACCCAAAATTGTAAACTCCAAGTATAGTCATTTAGCTCTATCTTGCCACCAAAAAGATCCACCTCCATCCAAAAAGACGATCCTCCAACCACTTGCAATATAGGAGTGCAAAACGACGAGGAAGCTAGAGCAAGTAATTGATGTACATGTAAAAACTCCAACTAAAACACATTACAATATTTACTTGATAATAAAAATAGTTGCCTGCAAGGTAAGAATTTTGCAAACATTATACCTCAAACAGAATATCATTCAGCTTAATCAATACAATAGATATATATCAATAGAGAGACCTTGAGAAAGGAAACGGAAATTCACATGATACCAGTAAAGCCAACAACATTGGACAGGCATCCAAATATTTAGAATGGAAAAATAAAACCTTCCTCCCAGCCGCCAACTGACACCGGACTTCCGCCCGATCGTTGATTGACGCTGAAGCCCGACCACTGACTAACGCCAGACTTCCGCCTGATCGACAATTAAAGCCGGATTTTCACCTAACCTCCAAACGTCGCCGGATTTTCGATCTATATTCGCAACTGGATTTCAACCCAACGGTTGATTATTGTAATCTAATCGTCCTCAATTTTAGGGACGGGTTAGTCACTTGTAATTTATTCAAACACTAGTGGAATCATTTCAACTAGGCGTGACCATATGGTTTTTCCCTTTTCTAGGATTTCCACGTAAAAATTATGGTGTTTCCTTTTTCTTCTGTTTGTATGCTACTTACATGTACAACGTTGAGACGAAAAATTTTAACTCTATCGCCGCATATATTCTAGCCCGCAACAATAATCATCATCATGATTTATTCAAAATAGTTAAAAAAAATTTAATCATTTCGATGAACACTTCAATTTGTTTTTGACTAAAATAATTTTTTTATTGCTTTTTAAGATAGGTGTCCTAAAAAGGAGAGAGCCTAAATTGATTTGCCAGCTTCTTCATTTAGCCAGCTTCTTCGATATGTAAGAGGAAAATAATAGTTCAACGCCAGCTGCTTCGATATGTAAGAGGAAAATAATAGTTCAACACATTGAAATAGTATTCATCTTATAAAATGAAATCATCCATAAATGAATTCATCAAAATGCTAATTAAAAATTCCGGCCTTTACATCATTCTACTTAGAGAGAGCATTCTTTCATTTTGAGATTGTAAAAATAAAATAAAATATAAATATTTTGCTCATAATAGATATTTATAAATAAATGAGATATCTCAAAAGTTCAATATTAAAAAACTAAAAAAGTAAAAAACGAAAAAAAAAATGAACAAGAGAAAAATGGGAAAATATTATTTCTATTTTTTTATTTTTCATTTTTTAGAAAACAAATAAAACGAAAAAAAAGAGGAAAAAAATAAATATTTATAATAATATCTAATTTATCTCTTTCCATCTCTGCTTTTTAAAAAAATGGATTTAAATTTTTTTTATATTTATTAAAACCATTAAGGCATTTCATTATTTATTATTATTATTTTTTTAACTAGGTCCATGTCAATGGCCGCTGGCTTTTTCCACGAGAGAGATTATTCTTTGCGGACACCGGATTGTCCTAAAGCGAATCAGAGCGTGCCACGTTACCCAGTACACAGCCGCTATACACAACAAAAAGATGACGTGACACGCTCTGATTCGACTCCGGACAGCATCCAAATAATTTTTCGTTCCATGATGATGAGTTTTTTTAAAAAAAATTAAGAAGCGTGTTTAAGCTTATTTAATTAGCTATGATAATGATTTTTAAAATTAGGTACTACTCCAGAAGGTTTCTTTTAGATAATGGCATATTATAAATAGCTCTCTTTATTCTTCATTCATCAAAGCTATCATCTTTCAACCTTTTACGTTTTCAGAGTTCGTTTTCAGTCCTCCTTTGAGCATTCGTCCATGGCTGCAATGGCAACTTTGTCTCAAAAGAAAGGTTTTTTTTTTATTAGATTTATATTTTATTTCGTACAACACAACAAATAATCTATATAAAGTTTGGTCATATATCTATTTTTAATCATATTTTTTAATAAAATGTTTTGAGAAGAAAAGCCTTAGTACTTACTTTGATCTTTAGCCAATTTTCACACTTTTAACAAAAATAAACTTAAATAAATTTAATGAAATGATATATTTATGATTTTCGAAAGATAGTTGTTAATTGATTGATTAACATTGCAGGTGCTGGTTCTAAGGATATTGAGAGATCGCAAAAGGAATTACCTGCATTAGAGGTCTCTGTAGCATTTCCTCAGGCTACACCTGCATCAATATTCCCTCCCATGAGTAAGTCCCATTAAAAAAAAAAAATTGTACAGTGCGTAAATCACTTTGATTTTATAGAGCTATTGACAGGCAACAATGATCGAGGATCACCGTCTAGCAATGGTGGTTAAAAGACTGAAATTAAGTAATGATAGTTAGAAAATTGTAGCCAAGTAATAGTGTCAGATGTTGCAATCGGTTGAGGGTGCTTGAAGGATTGTAGTTGGTATAGTGCTTGAAGGGTCACAGTCGAGCCATGGAGATCAAAATATCATGGGCGGGAGATAGTATTTGGAGCACAATAATCAACCGACGATGATCAAAGAGGACTGTAGTTGAGCAGCAGTGGATTGGTGGAAGTCAACCAACGATAACGATTAAGTTATTCATTCGATGGTGGCATTAGGTGGTTATCCGACGATGACAATTTGGAGATGGTCTGATAGCGATGGTCGGGTGGTAATCCAATGACCATAGTGCTCACTTGAGCTCTGAGATTCTTCAAACTACTTAGCACACCCAATTATATAGTCTAGGTCCAAGCTCTCCTTCACATATAGAGAATGAGCCTATTTATCGATTTTTAAGAGTAGCATTCCTCATAAATATAACCAAAATCTAGAACATTTTATCAAACGGTGTGTATTTAGTTCCTCGACAATAGAATATACTTTTAGTATTTAATGTCTTAATAATATTAGAATTGAAGGATTTTGAGCTCGTTGGATTTGCCTCGTCGATACACTCAATTTCATATAAACATGTGAGATTAGGAAATAGTTTAGTCTTATAATTGATGTCAAAATGTTTTTTAATTAAGCTTCAAGTGCTAGATCTAGACACATTCGAACTCGAATTTGATGACTTTTGTGTCGTTGGTTTCAGCTTGTTGCGATGTTAGTTCAACTATAAGTTTGTAGAAAGTGAAGTTCAAATGGTTCAAAATTTGAGTTCAAAAGTCTTTAATTAAACTAGGTATCCAAATTTGTACCCAATATTGAGTTCAAAGATTAACTTTTATTCTCCTTAATTAACTTGATCAAGTAATATGCATGTAAAAAAATATTACCACTTAATTGTTAATTATCAGTTAAGTGCAGATCTACAAAAAAAAATTTGAACCATTTGAACTTGACATGGCACAACCAGATTGACCTCCAAACACATTCAAACACCACACGTGATAATTTTTCCCTCTTACGGCATCATAATATGTGATCACACTCACTTTCTCATCCTGTATCTGTACTGACACAATCACCATTACAGTTTTTTTTTTTTTTTTTTTTGGAAAAGGATGAATATCAAGGAATAAATTTAATGTTAGCGTAATGCGAATTTAGAAACATGATAATATTGCATTGATAATTTTATATCATCTTACGTTTATTCAATGATGTTTATTTATTTTATATAATTTCAATTGCAGCATCTGATTATTATGAGTTAGATGATTTGCTAAGCTCGGAGGAGAAGCTTTTGAGAAAGAAAGTTAGACAAGTCATGGAAAAAGTGTTTGCTCCAATAATGGCAGAGGTCTTTTTTACTCCAAACGCGTAAATTTTTATTTTTTCAGCACATTTTTATCTTCTTCATCATGTGTTTCAGTACTGCGAGAAAGCTGAGTTCCCCTTCCATGTCATGCCAAAGCTTGCTGAAGTATGTTGTGTAGGAGGAACAATAAAGGTGCCTGCATCAACTATAATTAGTTCTTCCTTCTTCTAAAACTTATAAGAACTATGATAATTTATAGAAAGAAAATGGGATATTGCAGGGTTATGGTTGTCCTGGAATTTCAATCACTGCTAGTGCTATCGCCATGGCAGAAATTGCAAGAGTCGATGCCAGCTGCTCCTCTGTAATTCTAGTTCATTCTTCACTGGCTATGCTTTCAATTGGTACAATATCTTTCAATTCTGATTGTAGAATAATTAATCAACAAAATAAAATACAAAGAACCAACTTTCTTAATTTTTCTGCACTTTTATATAGCATTTTATGGAACGGAGAAGCAGAAAGAGAAGTACCTTCCATCACTGGCCCAATTGAATACTTTTGCCTGTTGGGTAAGTAGTAAAATACATATAATCGTATTCATTATTTTGCTTACTCTATTGATGTTTAAAGAGGAATTTACATATTTCAGGCTTTAACTGAGCCCGATCATGGAAGCGATGCGAGCTCTTTGACAACCACTGCAACGAAGGTTCGTTCATTAATGTTTTTAAGTTTTCAAACAAAAAGATTATGTTTTTTATTACTTGATAGAAAAATGTAAATGTAGGGTCCTTAGTCTCAAAGGGGAAAAACAAGAAAATATAAAACAAAATAAATCAAAACTGTACACAAAAATATAAGCCAAGGGTCGCAGCAAAGAAAAAAATTGTCAGTCATTATTTTCTCATTTAGATGGTGGCTAACAAGTCTATGGTCAGAATCATCATGTCCAAATAAGACTTGGGCTTCATATGAGACGGCTTTTTTATTGCTTCATAAAGCAGTTTTTTAATACAAAAATTCTAATTTTTTATATACTAAAAAACTGCTTCAAGAACTAATAAGAAAATCACCCTAAATGAAGCCTTCCTTTAGGACGACTTTCTTACTGTTTTTTAAAACAACTTTCTAATATAAAAATAAAAAAAAAATATTAAAAATTACTTTAAAAAATAGTAAAAAAAATGTTCCCAAATGAAGCTTAACACAGCTCAATTTTCTTATTGTTTTCTAAAGCAATTTTATAGTACAAAAATTTAGGGGATTGTTGAGTAACATCTAATTCCTTCAGAACTTTCATGATACTTCTTGAAGAGTAAGAGTAGGCACATCTATGCGATGCAGCTTGTTAAATAATGAAGCCAATATATATTAGATAATGGTTTTGGAAATTCGGGTGAAATAAATTTATTTGTGAAGATTAAGGTTTTGTTTAAGACAACTTTCTTAGTGTTTCTTAAAGCTGTTTTTTAATTAAAAAAATAAAAATTTTGTACTAGAAAGCTGCTTTAAGAAAAAAGTAAAAAAACCGTCCCAAACGAAGCCTAAATGAGGCTTAAACTGCATTGCATGCTTAGTATAATTTTAATATTAGAATAATTAATTATGCTAATCTAATGATAGTTGTACTTAAACAGGTGAATGGAGGTTGGATATTGAATGGCCAAAAACGTTGGACAGGAAATTGCACTTTTGCAGATGTATTCATTGTTTGTGCCACGAACACTAATACAAACAATATAAACGGGTGGGTAAATTTCTTTGTTTTTTCTTCAGGATAAAAATGCATGAATTGTAGTAACTAAGACTTTGTTTGGGACGACTTTTTTACTGCTTCTTAAAGCGGCTTTCTAGTACAAAAAATAATTTTTTTTTACAAGAAAACCGTTTTAAGATTTTTGTACAAAAAAGACGCTTTAAGCCATAAGAATGTCATCCCAAACTAAGCCTAAATGTCAAATTTTATCTGTCTAGCCATATATATCACCATTGAAAAGCATCGAATTCAAGCACTTTATCAATTAATTTCGTCTGTTGCAGGTTTATTGTGAAGAAGGATGCTCCTGGTTTAATGGCCACCAAGATACAAAATAAAATTGGATTAAGAATTATGCAAAATGGAGATACCCTCTTGAAGGGAGTGTTTGTTCCAGAAGAAGATCGTTTACCCGGTATCAATTCTTTTCAGGATGTAAACAAGGTATTTTTTTTCCTTATTAAATTTACAAAACAAACCCATGCTTAGGGCATCTCCAACCGAACGCTAAACATGTGTATGGCGTCGTTCGATCACTCCAGCCAAACGCCAAATCTTCCACTATTTGTTTGCCGGTGAACAATGCAACGCCAATATTGGCGTTGCACTGTTCACCCACGCGATTTTTCTATCTCAATTGAATTTGTCGAGGAAATGCGCGAAAGAAGGTTACTTTAGCAGAAACATGCAAAATGGAGTTCGATTGGAAATGAATTACTGCATTTTGGAGTGAAAAATGAGATTTTTGGTTGGAGATGCTCTTATGCGTCAGAAATTGTAAGGCAGAAATCAAAATTTGTGTCCACTTATGAGTTTTAAATGCATGCAGATGCTTCTTGTTGCACGTCTTATGGCTTCATGGCAAGCAATTGGCATATCAATGGGCGTATTTGATTTGTGTCACAGGTAAATCTGGATCTTATAGTGTTATCATATTGATATGGATTTCATAAACTACACATATATATATATGCTTTACATAAGGTAATTTATATTTAAGAAAATGCATAGGTATCTAAATGAAAGGAAGCAATTTGGAGTTCCACTTGCATCATTTCAGATAACGCAAGAAAAAATGGTTCGAATGCTGGGTAACATACAAGCAATGTTTCTTCTTGGTTGGCGTTTATGCAAGTTATATGAATCAGAAAAAATAACTATCGGCCAAGCCAGCTTAGCAAAGGTTATGAAGTATATAGTTTTTCATATGTTTTATGACAATTATATACATTAATTTGTCTATATAGTGATCAGAGCATGCTTTGTCTCTACAGGCATGGACAACCAAGAATGCAAGGGAAACAGTTTCCATAGGTCGAGAATTACTTGGAGGAAATGGTATTTTGGCTGATTTTCTTGTGGGAAAGGTTAGTGCTCTTGATCAAGTAAATTAAGTTACTTGCTCCCTGAAAAAGAAAGACAAGAGTTAAACAAATTATTTGAAACTTGCTGTGAGGTAAACCAAATGAGAATTAAAGTTGGATGGCTTGATCAATACAAATTTACGGAAACTTATATTCATCAGTCCAAAAATTTATTTCTACAAGGAATGGATGGCTAATCAATTCATATTCTAACACCAATATAATTTTCAATGTGGGACTAAATTTATAGTCTTGCATTCCATCATGACCTTCTTATTAAATGCAAACTCTTATATTGGTCATAGCTCTCATTCAAATAGAAGTATTAAATATAATGGGCAAAGACTTCGTACAGCTGCTCAAATTGCGTTAGTGATTTTAGAACCTTGCCCAACCATTATGGAAGTGCGAAGACTCATGTGAGCCAAAATTCCCCGGCCCATTTTATTTTATTTTTTTCAAAATATTAATTGTGATACAACTTATCAGAGAATGTGAAACAAAAGGATATCGAAGTTGAGCCAAATACGCCAGTAAGTGGCCCTATTTTCAACCCAAAAACTTAGCCTAAAATCATAGGTGCCTTAACTCTAGGTAAACAATTGCTACAACTCTACATCTACTATTGACCTTTGCAATAATTATAACAGCTTATTCTTCCTATAAAAGTGGATATAGGAGAAGACTTAGATTTCATTTGGGGCAGCTTTTTTGACTTTCAAAAAATTTTTATACTAAAAAGCTATTTAAGAAAAGCTATTCCAAGCGAAACCTTAGTCACTCTAATCCTTATCATATTTGAGGTATATATTTATTATAATTCATCAATTGGAAGGAAATGTATGCGAAGTGAAACAAACTTTATTGTTTACATCATTCAATATGCCTATATTTTCCATTTTAATTACTTTTTATGTTGTCTTATTAGGCATTTTGTGATTTGGAGGCCATATTTACATATGATGGAACTTATGAGATCACTAGCATGGTGACTGGAAGAGAAATCACTGGATTTGCAAGTTTTAAGCCTGTTTTATTGGCTAAAGCTAGCCGCCTCTAGGTTTTATAAAATGGTGGATAGTAAAGCTGGATATAAAGGACCGTTCAAGTTATGCTTATTTAGGTTATAGCAGTACCTTATTTTCTTATGATGTAATAGATAGTGTTGATTAGAACCATTTTCATCAAATTTATATTTGTTCTACGGTTCTACCTCAATAATTTATGGTTTGTTTCAATGAATTCCCTTTTGTCATTAACATTTATTTAAACATGCATCCAGAGAAACATTTATTTCACATATTTTAGTTATTACATAAAGTGCCACTAAAAATCAGGTCTCTCAGAGGAACCTTAATTAAGCATAAAATTAGACGCAAGGATTCAAAATAATCTAATAGATACATCATTGAAGAAACTATAATAGATGATGGTTCCCTTCCCCCAGCTCCCAGCAAGACACATCAGCCATATATTATGTGTTTTTGATGTCTGAAGATCTGTGGGAAACACATTGGAATCCTCCAAAATCCTAATCCAGTATGAAGAATATTTTCTTGAGAAGTTTTTGAATGAGATTCTTCAAGCACAAAGCATCTCTATCATCAGCTTTTCAATCAATAATCTCCTATAGAGGATGGAGAAGCCGAATCACACTCTTATGTCATAACATAGAGTAATGACATCTTGAGAAACAAATTATAATTGAGATGGCCGTATCTAGTGATTTAGCACTTCTCAAAGCTTTTATGAGGAAAAAAAACCCTAAGGCCCTTTATATAGGGAAAGCACCATACAAATACTAAACTTTTGGGTAGTATAAACCTTTCTAGAGAAGAGCAAAAGAGAAGAGAGGAGAGAATAAATATGATGGGGAGAGAATATCTTATGTAAAATATGAAGTAATGTATTGGGTGGCAGAAACAAATCATAAAGTGTTGTACCTCAAATTCACCCATGTAAAATATAAAGTAGTGTTTAACACAAGCATTATGCTGCTGAAAAAGAATGATAAAAACCTCGTTTGGTTTTTAACTATAAACCCCTCAATAATCTCTTGAAATGGATTAGATGTCTTATTCTAAATAAAAGAGATCTATGATGCTGCAATCTTCTCTAAATTTAACTTAAAATCTGGATATTGGCAAACCCAGATTAGTGAGCAGGATAGCTATAAAATAGCATAAACTGTTCCTTTTGGTCATTTTGAATGGAATGTTATACCATTTGGTCTTAAAAACGATCCTTAAATTATGAATGAAATTTTTAATCCTTATTCTGCATATATTTTAGTCTATATTGATGATGTTTTAATCTTTTCAAAATTAATCGAATAGCATTTTAAGCATCTTCGAATTTTTAAATGGCTAGCTCGAAAAATTGGTTTAGTTATTTCTGAACCAAAAATAAAATTTTTTCAACAAAAAATTCATTTTCTTGGTCACCAAATTCAAAATGCTTCTATAATTTTGATTAATAGAAGTGTCGAATTTGATGATACATTTTCAGATGAAATTCTTGATAAAATCAACTGCAAATATTTCTTGGAGTTTTAAATTAGATTTCTGATTTTTATAAGAATGTTGCTATAGATGCCACCCCATTATATAAAAATTTGAGAAAAACCCCTCCTCCTTGGACAGAAATTCATACAAAAGCTGTTCAAACTATTAAAGCTCATGTTAAAAACCTTCCTTGCATACATCTTGTTAATCCTCTATATTTTTAAATAGTAGAAATAGCTGCTTCTAATTTAGGCTATAGAGGCATTCTTAAGCAAAGCAAACCCTCCACTAAAAAGGAAGAAATAGTCCGATTTACGTTAGGTAAATGGAATCCCTCTCAGTCTATGTATCCAACTATTAAAAAAGAAATGCTTCATATTGTTAAGTCTATCATGAAATTCCAAGATGGTTTACTTAATACTACATTTCTATTATGAATAGATTTTGCATCAATTATTTTTCCTAAATTTGCTTCCCTCCACCACCTATGTTAAGCAAGTCCTTCAGCTCAGAAAAGGGGCAGAGGTGAGTAGGGTCGCTTGAAGAGCCAATTGTGATCGGATGTGAGTAATGGTGGCCCGTGTGTCGGTGATGGGATAAGGCCATTAAAAGGCCTCAATTGTTGGATAAGCTGGTGCTGGCTTTTCTAGCGACAAGGATCAATTATGGACTTAACAGATGTGGCTCATGAGCAATGGTTGGCGTGTTATAAGGAAATAGAGTATTAGATAGGTTTCTTGTATAATATTACTTGCTAAAACTATGCATATAAATTTTGATGAATGACATTTTGGATCATTCTTCTATTAGAGTTTTTCTCGAGTTTTTGAAGAAATGCAATCAAAAAAATAGGAGAGAGAGAGAATAGAAAAGTGAGATCAAGGAAAGAGATGGACATGTAATATGCAGAACAAAAGAAGAAAAAGATAAGAAAAATATTTAAGAGTTAATAGTTAGAAGAGAAAATGCTGGAGTAGTCAAAAATGGCATTTTTTAATTTTCATTGGACTAGTGATATCATAGATCTCCCTATACGATCTTGCACATAGTTAAATCTTACTGACTATGTAGATAATCTCTTGGCTCTTTTTTATAATGTATTTTTGGGGTGTAAATTAGGTTTAACTGGCGGTGTACGCATCCTATCAAAAAATTTCCAATTTGAATATAATCAACTCGAACTCGACCTAAAACTATGTAAACAAAATCTCACTTGAGCTCGACTCAAGTAATGATGTGCTAGTGTCAGCCCGACCGAAATGGGTATAATTACTTGATTTGGATGTTACAACTAGAAAACATATAGAATTTATATGAGTTTTTATTGAAAAAATAAAAGAAAGAGAAATAAAATTGTTGAAATCATTAATTTCAGTTGGCAGGTGTTGACCCAAATTTTTTTTGAACAACTTAAGATATCACAAACCTAGCCTGAATCTTATGCGAGCTAATTTGAACTCAAAATTTCTGTTTGAATTTTATTTGGCTTTTCATGATTATTTCTATATTGAAACCCTTAGTGTCTTCCTTTTATTGACCTCAACAACTATTGTAAAAACTGATCCGATCAAAATGGAAAAAACATGGATGCATTGTGGGTCAAAATTTTTTTGAAATAACTTGGTCAAATTAAAATCACTCGATCATTGTTGTTTTGTGAAATGGAACACGCTAACTCGTCTAGAAACAACAAAAATAGACATTCATATTATTTGGGTTGTTGCATGAGAATGAATTAAAACATATCCCACTTGCAAGACTATGATATGAAGTCGACTTGTTTGAGTGATAATGATTTACAAATAAAGATACATATGCTATTAAGTGAAATCGAATTAAATTAGTGTAAGTTTGAATAATGATAATATACTAAAAATAAATGACACACACATATTTATATATATCACACTTCTTACAAAAAGTTTCATCTTTAGGAGCAAAATTGTTTTGTTTCCTTCGGGAATTTGCAGGAGAATTAGGGTATAAAACACTAATTATTTTTGAAATTATTCTCATTAATATAAAAATAAAATTTCTATAATTTAAAATTGGACATTCTTCTTAGGTAATGTGGTAAATGGCCAATACAAGCTAAAAATTTGGAGATGAAAAGCCTAAATAAAGTAAACTTTCCTAAAACGGATATCAAGTGTATTTTAACAGTCCAAACTCTTAACTATCGAGGTATGTCCCCTTTGGCCTAAGGGCCTCACGATTTTGTCATATTGGTGCAACGTCACAGAAGGTCACCTATCTCAGGATTTTTCTAGGATGAATAGGCTTAATTGCGAAGTTTATTAAATAAAATTCTAATCATTACACCAAAAGGAGCCTCGATGTTTAAGAGTTTATGTTTTTTACTTATGGTGCTTCATAATCTCCCTAGCTAATTAACTCGTGTCCTTATCAACATCTTTATCTCATAATCATCCACCAGGTATATATGATTCTAGAGGTGACCCCTATGTTCCATTGGTGATTCCCACCACGTAGCACTTTGTCCTATATATGGGTTAAGAGGTGGCTCCTATGGCGTAGTATTTTGTCTTGTATGACACTTGGTTCCCATCTTCCAATTGATATATTGCTATGATAGCAATTATAACAATCCAAGCTCATAACCATTGAGGTATTGTCTACTTTGGCCTAAGGGCCTGACGATTTTGTCATATTGGTGTAACTTCCCATGAGGTCACTCATCCCAGAATTTTCAGGACGAGCACGCTTAACTGCAAAGTTTCTTAAATGAAATTTCGACTGTTATACCAAAATACGTCTCAATGTTTAAGAGTTTAGCTTCATTTACTTAAGGAGTTTCACAAGTTTCAAGCTTCTTTATGGTTCCATTTCTTGAATAACTTTCTTTTTTATTGGATCAATCTAGATTCCCATGTGACGGATAATGAACCCTAAGAACTTTCTTAAATAAATTCTAAAGGCACATTTTAAAGTATTCATTTTAACCCATTCTTTTTAATGCGACATAATATTGTTTTCAAATATGTTATATCATGATTAATGATATTATTATTCATGATGATATCATCAATATTACACTCAACCTTATATCATAATAGATCATAAAATATTTGTGTCATGGAGCCTTAATATGTTCCAAATTACAAAAAAAAACAGAGAAACTAATCTATCCTTCCACACATGATTCATCCAAAAAAATCATGAACTTGTAATTAAAAGATTGCTTGGATTCATCGATCGTCGTTAATTTCGGTGATCTTCAGAGGCAGCATCGACGATGGCGAATTCGACATGTCTGCAGCCGATGAAGGCGACTTCGAACGGGTTTTTTCAAGGCCACAGTCAGCTCGATTTCGCTCTGCCGCTAGCGATCCTTCAGATCTGCCTCGTCGTCGCCCTCACGCAAACCCTAGCTTTTCTGCTCCGCCCCCTACACCAGCCCCGCGTCATCGCTGAAGTCATTGTGAGTTTTCTTGTTTTTTTATTCTTTCAACTGAGAATTTTTCTTCGTAATCATCATCATTGCATTAATGATCATTAAATTGAATTCTGTCATCTTCCCCTGTTTCTTAAAATACTCTTTATTGATTTGGTACAGAAATTTATCCGTTTTTGCAAATAAGAATGCTTCAGCTGATTACAGAAAATTCCAATTATTACATTGCAGAGATCATTTCTTACCTGCTAATTATGTTTTCAAGAATTTTCTTCTCGTTATGTTAAGATAAGTGATGCAA